ACATGCTGCGAATTAAGGGTGAAACAAGGCTTATTGTGTGTCCATCAACTGTGACAATGTAATAACTATGAAACTTATGAAATTAGTAAGCCCTGTCATGGAGATGAGACATGGAGGGTGATACAATGCTTATTGTGTCTGCATCAACTGTGACAATGTAATAATTATGAAACTTATAAAATTAGTAAGCCCTGTCATGGAGATGAAACATGGAGGGTGAATAACAAAACACAATATTGATAACCAATCTCCAAATTGCACAAACACCAGTTTAGTTTTTTTTCAAACAAGGGAACAGGGGCGCAGCGCCCTCATGCCATGGTCATGTGCCCCCTTACCATAGAGAGCAGATCCTCTGGCAACCATCAAATTCTGATTGACCAGGGATCACATGTGGACATGCACAGTTTTCAACTGTGACCTGTCTGATAGTAATTTTGGCTCCAAGGAAGCCATAGGATGCTCAATTTTAACTTAGAATTATCAAAAACTTCACACCCTGGTAGGGAGAACCCTATCTCCCCCACTTGGTGGTGCCGCTGAATTGCAGTGCTCCCTTTTGAAGTTTTTTTCTAGAAAAACCCCTGCAAACACTCTATGCTGTCCTTCGTTGTATAGCTTTTCATGGATGGTATAAGTACAAGCAAATTATAATCATATGAACACGCACACACAATGATTCAAGCTGACGACCATGGCGAAGCATCTTGCCGCTGTAAGCAAACCAAAAAAGTCGGCTCCAAACATCCACTAGTGAACACACCCTCACAATGACTAGATGAACATGGGTAAGCTGAATCTATAACATCACAGGTAATGACATACATAATTTATTTTCATCATTTGCTGTTGTTTTCATTTCGTTTCTTAGAATAGTATTTGACTATGTGCTATCCAAAATGAATAATGTCAATAAAGTTACTATATAAAGCCTACTCAAAGAGATTCAGGTAAAGATTCAAATTTTACAAACTGTCATAGGTGATATCAGATGACTCATTGTAACCCTGGTATCTAATGAGAATGAAGCTGTTTTACTTACATCTATAATAAGATACTCTACTGGAAGTGGTCTTGCTAACAAAGCAACTTCATTATTATAGGAATCCTTCATCTACAATACAAGCATCATACATGATACAATGAAAAAAACAATCACAGAAAGTTTACAGCCTATGGAAAACCTACACATGTCCTGTGAAGTTATCTGAAGCAAAGATTGAAAGCATGGCATATATACAGGAGATAAACACTGTGCTTAAATGCACTGCACATCAGCCTATAGAAAGCACTCCATGACATGTGTGTTGTGAAGTTATCAGAAGCAAAGACTGAAGGCATGGCATATATACAGGAGATGAATACTGTGCTCAATGCACTGCACATCAGCCTATAGAAAGCACTCCATGACATGTGTGTTGTGAAGTTATCTGAAGCAAAGATTGAAAGCATGGCATATATACAGGAGATGAACACTGTGCTCAATGCACTGCACATCAGCCTATAGAAAGCACTCCATGACATGTGTATTGTGAAGTTATCAGAAGCAAAGACTGAAGGCATGATATATATACAGGAGATGAATACTGTGCTCAATGCACTGCACATCAGCCTATAGAAAGCACTCCATGACATGTGTGTTGTGAAGTTATCAGAAGCAAAGACTGAAGGCATGGCATATATACAGGAGATGAATACTGTGCTCAATGCACTGCACATCAGCCTATAGAAAGCACTCCATGACATGTGTGTTGTGAAGTTATCAGAAGCAAAGACTGAAGGCATGGTATATATACAGGAGATGAACACTGTGCTCAATGCACAATCTGTTTTGTTCTGGTATAAGTATGAATAAAGCATATTTGATATCCAATATTTCTGGTACATGTTTAAGCATTATTAAGGCATAATTCTAAACAGCAACAATACATGTATCAATATTAATATATTTGCTCTATTAATCATGATTATTAGAGCAATCTAAAAATGGGTTACTATTTATGCAAATTAGGAAATTAACAGGAATGGAGTTGAATCAAAAAGTATTAATATACTGAGTTTAAGTGAACTCAATTAAATAATACTTGAGATATCAGTTGAACAACTGAAATTGGTTATTTATTATGCAAGTTAGGTAATTAATATGCATGGATTTTAATCGTAAACAAATCAAGTTTGCCAATTATACAGTTAACACCAGAAATAGTCATGTGTTAAATTGGTATTAGGTATGGTGATATAGAATAGACTGTACTGAGTGAACTGAGTACATGACAATTTTAATTACAGCTCACAAAAAATACTGGTCTATTTTAGGACCAAGTTTGTTTAATAAAATTCTATAAATTAAGTATACCGGTACATACCTTATAAAAGACATCGGGTACATACTGCTCATTAGAAGACTCTTTAATATAACCCAGCTCTGGGGCATCTTTTGTTGGTATAAGGCAATCATCATTCACTAATGCCATGCACTGATTGGACACTTGATATGCTTCAGTATGAATCTGATTGGTTGAATCACCTAATTAATTAACCAATCAAAAAGAGGACAGCGTCACGTGATGAGGTAATGAATTTGAATAGTTTGATTTATATTGTGTTTTATTTTTCCGTCTTATGGTTAAGTTTTGTATACTATTGTATTTCTGTACAAGACTTAAAGGCCCAATTCACTTGCCCCGGGCAAGTGTGAATTGGA